CCTTTTATCCTAAGAGCTGTTGAAATTACCCTGGTATAAAACATACACTTCTTGTAACCTACAAATGTTATTTTGATATTCTTAAAACATCTAACAATTTCATTGAAATTGATAAATACGACGACATCATGATATCTATATTAACAATACTCTGTTTACAAAGAGGATCTCGGTAAGAGTTGTTTATTATCTCTAGGTATACAATCTGTTCTGTAACAAGATATACGGACGGTGTTAGCTGATCTGAAAAAACAAACTGACTCATCAACATCATAAGTGAGAATTACAGGATTTCTACAATATATTTCAAAATACGCCAGCAGATCTTAACATAGCCGTACTGTGCAGATATGATACAGGTATGATACACAGTTATATACATAACCTGCTGTCGCTATCTAGACCCTCACATTCGGTTATGTAAATTAATCAGCCTGAATCAGTCACCTGATGTGTATACATCTCACTAAAATCGACAAATTCGTATGTTCGAGACCACGGTGTTATTCACAACCATTCACAACATTTAAAGCCTAGCACTTCACCTGCAACATATCCTTAGTTTTTTTCCACACCAACAAGGACATTTCTTCCTCTTCCGGAACACCGCCGTCTTACTCATATATGTAAATTCCTCGCATCCGAAAGGCATTTCTACTTCATCAAAACAGATTTCTAACTCTCTGGAGTCCCCCTACTCCGTTTGTCAGTCGCCTGGGACGCTTTCATTTCACTAACAATTTTATTGATGCAACAGACCTTATTATATTCGGATAAATAAACCAGATATATATTCTAAAGTATTAATTAAGTTACTAAAGGTGTTTCCGTTAGGACTGAAACAAATTATTAATTATTTAGAATTAAAGAAGCCGCGCTTTTTGACAGAACAGAAGCAGAATACAATAATAAACGTCACTTTGCCATGTCATAGAACAAATCAGCAGGTGCGAGGATAAATCTCGGTTTCTATATGTGAACAATTTGTCGTTTTATTTTTTAACTGTAAGAACAAGTTCTCTTAAGTCGTCAAATCTATCAAACAATTTGAATCTGGAAACATGAACCATGACGTAAAACACGATCAGTTCAAAACAAGTTGTGAAAGTAGATGACTTTATCTAGCTTGATCTGTGCCTAGAGATGCACCGGACATACATGTAGTTGGATTTTTTTAAATCACAATTCGCGCAACAACTTTATGGGATGGAGTATAATGAGAGGCGATCGAGAAAATTAGGCAGGCTGTACTGTTCACAGTGTGAATAACAGTTAAAAAAAAAAAAAAAAAAGAAGAAGAAATTTTGAAAATTAGGGCGAACAAGTGTTGTCTCATGCAGTACTGATAAGCAGATTATGAAGAGTTTGACGCTGATGGTTTACCCCATTCCATCCCTGACTCCTGCCTGACTACCGCCGCCATCATATTACCTAATCTCAAAACCACATTCTAACTGCCAGTTGCACTGTATGCAAGACAACGTGCAACTCGCTTCCGTTGCCAACGAAGTTCCAAAACCTAGACCTCCCCGTTACATGTCATAAAAAATACCCCTTGTCATGGTCTATCTCTGCAAACTGCCATTATGTTAAATGGATTACAAAGATAGCAATGATATACAATGTCAGGTGTTATTCCTCTCAACTTCGCCATCTTTGTTTCTGATTTTCACAATGAAACACGTGACGTAAGCTCACAGGTCCAGAAAGTCTGGGGTCTGTATAAGCTTAAATTGTTGAATGTTAATATTGTTTTTATTAGGTGCGTTAATACTATGGTGCTCTCAAGTCTTACGGAATAACAGTGTTTCATCAACGCAATGTCTTAATAAACTAATTCCTGATTCAAAAACATAAAGGAAAAAAAGAAATGGCTGTTATAAGCAGTTTCTAAACTGTCTTACAATTGTTTTCTTAAAAGCGACACGAACAACTAAGTTCGTCATTGCAGGTCAGTTATGCAGAATACATTTTAACAAAACCGTAAGATAAACTGCCTTTCGTAGTCTATAGAAACCAGATGTACACGAATTTATATTTAAACATCATTCTCTTGTTCCAAGACAGTGTTTGATTGAAATAATTGTTGGCATACGGGAAAAAACAGTTTCATTTTGAAAATAAAAAAACCCCAAATACCTCTGTTTAAGAACGCCGATTTCCTTCACGATTCTAGCTGGGGTTCCTGTGGGTGATTTTTTTTACCAGTAAAATCCCAATACCGACAACCATTCGCTGTTCTCTGACATCAGATTGAGAACACCCAATGTTGTAGCATTTTAATTCCTCTTGTTTGACGTAGGGTGTTTATTTTCAGGATCGAAAGACGTGGTTTGAATAGCCGCTTTAACTTTATTCTGGAAAACATATAAAACCTATCGACTCTACATAACGATTATTGGAAAAGAGTTATACGGTACAATTGTTATGACAGTCTGCGGGTATCACGTGATCAGAACACAGTCGGACAAAAATTGTTTACATCGTATGGTAGAGCGCGTGCGAACACCTATCGCGAGTCCGTTTCATCATTGCCTCATAGTTGTATATCTTCTAACCCAATAGTGAATGTTTATTTCAAGAACCAATGGGATTCGGAATTCTGTCAACGACCTTACATAAAGCTGACAAATTGAGATAAAGATTTATCACTTCTCTTTATGGAAAAAAAAAAAATTGACTTTATATGTAACTCGACCAGGAAGTCTTCCGGTTTTACAGACATATATAAAGACAAGTCATATATTGATACACCTTGACCAGCAAGCCTTCTCATAACACAAAACCTATATATATATATATATATATATATATATTGGTACACCTTGATCAGCTAGCTTTCTCATAACACAAAACTTATATATATTGGTACACCTTGGCCAGCTAGCCTTCTCATAACACAAATCTTATATATATATATATTGGTACACCTTGATCAGCTAGCCTTCTTATAACACAAAACTTATATATATATATATATATATATATATATATATATATTGGTACACCTTGATCAGCTAGCTTTCTCATAACACAAAACTTATATATATATATATATATTGGTACACCTTGATCAGCTAGCCTTCTCATAACACAAAACTTATATATATATATATATATTGGTACAACTTGATCAGCTAGCCTTCTCATAACACAAAACTTATATATATATATATATTGGTACACCTTGATCAGCTAGCCTTCTCATAACACAAAACTTATATATATATATATATATTGGTACACCTTGATCAGCTAGCCTTCTCATAACACAAAACTTATATATATATATATATTGGTACACCTTGATCAGCTAGCCTTCTCATAACACAAAACTTATATATATATATATATATTGGTACACCTTGATCAGCTAGCTTTCTCATAACACAAAACTTATATATATATATATATATATATATATTGGTACACCTTGATCAGCTAGCCTTCTCATAACACAAAACTTATATATATATATATTGGTACACCTTGATCAGCTAGCCTTCTCATAACACAAAACTTATATATATATATATATTGGTACACCTTGATCAGCTAGCTTTCTCATAACACAAAACTTATATATATATATATATATATATATATTGGTACACCTTGATCAGCTAGCCTTCTCATAACACAAAACTTATATATATATATATTGGTACACCTTGATCAGCTAGCCTTCTCATAACACAAAACTTATATATATTGGTACACCTTGGCCAGCTAGCCTTCCTATAACACAAAACCTATATATATATATATATATATTGGTACACCTTGATCAGCTAGCCTTCTCATAACACAAAACTTATATATATATATATATTGGTACAACTTGATCAGCTAGCCTTCTCATAACTCAAAACTTATATATATTGGTACACCTTGATCAGCTAGCCTTCTTATAACACAAAACCTATATATATATATATTGGTACACCTTGGCCAGCTAGCCTTCTCATAACACAAATCTTATATATATATATATATTGGTACACCTTGATCAGCTAGCCTTCTCATAACACAAAACTTATATATATATATATATTGGTACACCTTGATCAGCTAGCTTTCTTATAACACAAAACCTATATACATATATATATATATTGGTACACCTTCATCAGCTAGTCTTCTCATAACACAAAACTTATATATATATATATTGGTACACCTTGATCAGCTAGCCTTCTTATAACACAAAACCTATATATATATATATATATTGGTACACCTTGATCAGCTAGTCTTCTCATAACACAAAACTTATATATATTGGTACAACTTGGCCAGCAAGCCTTCTCATAACACAAAACTTATATATATTGGTACACCTTGACCAGCAAGCCTTCTCATAACACAAAACTTATATATATATATATATTGGTACACCTTGATCAGCTAGCTTTCTTATAACACAAAACTTATATATATTGGTACAACTTGGCCAGCAAGCCTTCTTATAACACAAAACTTATATATATATATATTGGTACACCTTGATCAGCTAGTCTTCTCATAACACAAAACTTATATATATATATATATATTGGTACACCTTGGCCAGCTAGCCTTCTTATAACACAAATCTTATATATATATTAGTACACCTTTACCCACGTTCACATATATATTATTCATTTGTAATCAAAGCAAGGAACATGGCATTGATACAGGAACTCTACGTGTTTGTAAAATGAACACGTGCATTCTTAATAGAAAACGTCTGAAGTATCGGACATGCTATTATTTTCTTTATGTAGTTGTTACCCTCTTCCGATGGAAATGTCGTTTCAATATTTAAACATATTTTTTTACACAGCTGTAAATTTAGTTTTGTATTAGATTAATTATCAAATCAATACAAAATAATCAAGTTTGGCGGAATTGTTGAAGTGTTTGGGTTTTCATGTTTTCATACTAACACCATGATAAATATTACTAAAATGAAATTAATATTCCAATAGATGTTCACAAGATTCCAATGTACTTACTAATATTCACGTAGACGTTGTTTGATAAATATATTCCATGTGACCGGTACTCTTGTACAACTTCCTGATTATCCACTGAGCATTTCAAACTGTGGTAATTAGTTCCAAATTTTATATATTTATAATAAAAAAGATCGTAATACTAAAAGTACACAGACGGATATAACTCCGTTTTATCTCACTTGGAAATCGTTGTAAAATAAGAAATCGTGCTGTGATGACGTGGCTACCCATCACGGTAGCAGCGAACTTTGGTGCCAGAAGATTGGTAACGGAACAACGCCTATCCTCCCTTCTCTCACTGAAATCATTCTGGAACTTCCTGTTCCGTAATAACTAATGGAGGGACCATTCCGGACAGCTTTAGGTTGTATATAACAATCAATAAAAATCTTTCGGACTATAGTATTGGTCATTTTCGGCCACATTAATGGATAGTCATGTTCTGTGATAGCAGACTGTATCGGCACGCGCGTGACTGGGAAAAATCGTCGAGTGAGTTGGCCAAACAGAAGAGTTTAAATGCGGCGATGGTGGAGGAGAAAAGGATCGTATTTAAAACATCACTCTGGAATCCTTTATTATAAATAAATATAAATCTTATTTAAATGTTCCATTAGATATATCATCACATCCATCGCTTAGTAATGAAGCTGTATGCCTGGTGTACACATTCTACACTGATGTACGTTGTAACCACGTCTATGCAATATTGGCTTACCTTCATAAACTCGACCAGCTTATCCAGAAAAAATATTAACAACCTAATCGTGAATGTCTTTAATAACGTCATATATAAACGTCAAACCCTATAATCTAAATAACACATCACTTATATAAATGATTTTGGATGAATGAGTTTGAAAAGTTCTTCGGGTTTATCAGATAGGGCATGCCCGTTTTAGGAAAAAATGAACGTGATCGGGAGGGAAAGTACGTCCTTGACCTTGACTACCATGTAAGTATATTTTACGGCAAGGTTAAACATGTCTTATATCCGGATATATACCAACACGTCAGAAGAGACAAGAATCTGAAAGGGTTTTATAGAACAGGACTTGGGACCGTTTTTATGGGAAAAAAATCTAATTTTTTACAAGGTCCTTAAAAGTTGCAGCTATAAATAATGCATACTTGTAAAAGCATTTTAGAACGTGGCATTGTTGTCCTTGAGCTGGACGTCCATCGCATGCTTTAGACCATTCGCAGCCAGACTTGTACATGTACTGTTGGCAAGGCCTTAAAATAATCTATTAAGTATTAGTTTGTATTTGTTGTGGGTGTTCGTCTGTCTGTTCTAGTTCGTTTGGCGTCGTGTTGCAGCTGTGTTAATCATTGTGTAATGAAATGCTGTCATTTAGCTGTTATATACTGTAGACTGTTTGATACAAGGTTTACTGTGGTACAATGCGGTACACTGTACAATGCGGTACCCGGTACAATGCGGTACACTGTACAGTGCGGTACCTGAATACTGTGTTACAGTACGGTAAACGGAATAGTGTGGTACATATCGATATACAGAAGTATACTGTGATATTGTTTGATGAACGATATGCTGTACTACATTACGGGATACCGTGGTACAGTTCGGTACAAGATATACCGTGGTACAGTTCGGTACAAGATATACCGTGGTACAGTTCGGTACAAGACATACCGTGGTACAGTTCGGTACAGGATAAACCATGGTACAGTTCGGTACAAAATATACCGTGGTACTATTCGGTAATATACCGTGGTACTATTCGATACACTATTGTGCAGTTCGGTACACGTACATTTTGGTACAGGGCTGTACGCGGTATACTGTGGTACATATGATGCACAAACACTGTGTTACAATGCAGTACACGGTGCATTGCAATAAATTTCAGTACACGGTACTCTGTGGTACACTCCGTTATACGATATACTATGATACAGTCGGTAAACGGTACATTTTGTTACCGATCGGTATAAGCACACCGTGGTACAGTTTAGTATAAGATACGCTGTGGTGCAGATAGGTACATGATACATTTTGGTTCCGTTCGGTATAAGCACGCTGTGGAAAAGTTTAGTATAAGATAGGTTGTGGTGCAGGTAGGTACATGGTACATTTTGGTACCGATCGGTATAAGCACGCTGTGGTACAGTTTAGTATAAGATACGCTGTGGTGCAGGTAGGTACACGGTACATTTTGTTACCGATCGGTATAAGCACGCTGTGGTACAGTTTAGTATAAGATACGCTGTGGTGCAGGTAGGTACATGGTAACTTTTGTTACCGTTCGGTATAGGCACGCTGTGGTACAGTTTAGTGTATACTGTAGTGCAGGTAGGTACACGGTACATTTTGTTACCGTTCGGTATAAGCACGCTGTGGTACAGTTTAGTGTATACTGTGGTGCAGGTAGGTACACGATACATTTTGTTACCGTTCAGTATAAGCACGCTGTGGTACAGTTTAGTATAAGATACGCTGTGGTGCAGGTAGGTACATGTTACATTTTGTTACCGTCCGGTATAAGCACGCTGTGGTACAGTTTAGTATAAGATAGGCTGTGGTGCAGGTAGGTACATGTTACATTTTGTTACCGTCCGGTATAAGCACGCTGTGGTACAGTTTAGTATAAGATACGCTGTGGTGCAGGTAGGTACACGATACATTTTGTTACCGTTCGGTATAGGCACGCTGTGGTACAGTTTAGTATAAGATACGCTGTGGTGCAGGTAGGTACATGTTACATTTTGTTACCGTCCGGTATAAGCACGCTGTGGTACAGTTAAGTGTATACTGTGGTGCAGGTAGGTACATGGTACATTTTGTTACCGTTCGGTATAAGCACGCTGTGGTACAGTTTAGTATAAGATAGGCTGTGGTGCAGGTAGGTACATGGTACATTTTGTTACCGTTCGGTATAAGCACGCTGTGGTACAGTTTAGTATAAGATAGGCTGTGGTGCAGGTAGGTACATGTTACATTTTGTTACCGTTCGGTATAAGCACGCTGTGGTACAGTTTAGTATAAGATAGGCTGTGGTGCAGGTAGGTACATGGTACATTTTGTTACCGTTCGGTATAAGCACGCTGTGGTACAGTTTAGTATAAGATAGGCTGTGGTGCAGGTAGGTACATGTTACATTTTGTTACCGTCCGGTATAAGCACGCTGTGGTACAGTTTAGTGTATACTGTGGTGTAGGTAGGTACATGGTACATTTTGTTACCGTTCGGTATAAGCACGCTGTGGTACAGTTTAGTATAAGATAGGCTGTGGTGCAGGTAGGTACATGGTACATTTTGTTACCGTCCGGTATAAGCACGCTGTGGTACAGTTAAGTGTATACTGTGGTGCAGGTAGGTACATGTTACATTTTGTTACCGTTCGGTATAAGCACGCTGTGGTACAGTTTAGTATAAGATAGGCTGTGGTGCAGGTAGGTACATGGTACATTTTGTTACCGTTCGGTATAAGCACGCTGTGGTACAGTTTAGTATAAGATAGACTGTGGTGCAGGTAGGTACATGTTACATTTTGTTACCGTTCGGTATAAGCACGCTGTGGTACAGTTTAGTATAAGATAGGCTGTGGTGCAGGTAGGTACATGGTACATTTTGTTACCGTTCGGTATAAGCACGCTGTGGTACAGTTTAGTATAAGATAGGCTGTGGTGCAGGTAGGTACATGTTACATTTTGTTACCGTCCGGTATAAGCACGCTGTGGTACAGTTTAGTGTATACTGTAGTGCAGGTAGGTACATGTTACATTTTGTTACCGTTCGGTATAAGCACGCTGTGGTACAGTTTAGTATAAGATAGGCTGTGGTGCAGGTAGGTACATGGTACATTTTGTTACCGTTCGGTATGCGGTACATCGTGGTATAAATGCTGTTCATGATACACTATTATATATCTAAACAAACACAATACGTTACGACTATTTGGCTCAGAAATCGGTATGCATTGGTACAATTCGCTACATAGTTAACTAAGACACACACAATATATATATATATCTGACGACCTGGTAATGAAATGTACAATTCCTGACAGCATCCTTACTTTCCGCGGATATACGGTTCACTGAGGACGGCATATATTGTATAATGATACGCTATTGCACATTGGTGTATGACCGATAGCTGGTCATGCTTCGTTGATTTGAGTTATTTACTTAACGTCATACTGGATGTGGTTTTAATGTCTTACATTTTAATTAACGAACGAAAGTGAGATAAGATTTATAAAACATCTATTGCCTCTAAATTTCTCGCTTGTTTATAAATAATACAGGACACAATTTACTCACCACAAGATTGTATTTCAAAAAGGGTGAAAAAAACTTGAACACCCAAGTAAATAAATGACGAAATGAATTTCAGCTATAAAAAAGTAATGTATTCATTTCAGTTTGTTTATATCTGTAACAGGAAGCATTTTATAGACACTGCACAACGATAAAGTAAACCAATCCTAGTGTGAAATTATTTTTTTTTCAGTGAAAAATTATGAAATAAATTAAGATCCTTTCGGTAGGTTTTGATGTCGATGTACCAATGTTGGTAAGATGTTACAATGTTGAAATGATGTTGTACAATGATGGGGCAACTCATGGGAACTTTTGTAGTGCCAACACACTGAAATGACATACTTTAGATACAGTGGAATGACGCCTCACCAGTTCACATCACACCGGCAATGGATTAGCCACTCATTGTATACATCCGATGCAATGATGAGAAATAAACAATGAGCTTTGAGCATGCCATTTTAATGAGTTACCTATGTCATGGCCGAGGACAGAAACCACTGTCAACTTCATTCTGTGTGAGCACTCAACATTAAGACCAAGGTGAGGTAGCGTCTGGTGAGACATGAGGAAGAAAAAAAATGAATTTGAGAAAAAAGTTCTGTCGCCTCTTTCGATCATGCAGTAAATGTGTAATTAGTCACTGCATGACATATCTAAAATAAGCAAACAGGATGTTCTACGAGCAGTTCATGTTACGTATCAACCCCGCCACAAACCCTAAAAAACTTCAACTGAATTACTTTCCATCATATTTTAATATTACAGCCCAGGTTTCGTTTTCAGTTAAGAATATATTTGTAATTTCTTCACGTTTTAGC